CAGTTCTCCATGGGGCACCGTGACCCGGCTACTCCACCTCCATTGCTTGTCTGCAATGTCTGGCCCTCACGTCTTACTATGGCTCCCAATAGTCATGAGTACTTAAGTAGGGGCTTGACTCTTCTCAGGTCCCAAGATAGAAAGTTTAATGACCGCATCCTTTTGCAACCTTGTCTCTGTGTCTGTGCATGCTTTCATGGGGTTGTTTTTATCAGAAGCAGACTTGGGAGCTGGTGTCTGGTTTTGGCTGGCATTTCAGGGGCCCCTGAAGGGAAGATAAAAAGACCCCAGATCTACCTCAGACACTGAGCTGATGTTTCTCCAGAAGATGAAGTAACAGACAGATCGGGTGAACTCTAGGTCTCCTCTGCCCTGAATCTTTGTCACCCAGGCTGCCCAGACCTAACAGCTAGACTAAGGCAAAGTTCAATGCCTAATTTAGAATGATCCTGAACAAACAGAAATCTGAGCATATCGTTCACCTGTCTAAATGTTCACCGGCTTTTATAATGTCATTTGAAGTCTCCCTGAGCCGGCCATTTAATCAACACCTCCAGCTCCTTAGAGGCTCATTCTAACTTCTGCCTACTCTAGTCCCTGTCTACCACTTCCCTGTGCTGCAATTTCTCTGGTTAGTTTTTCTAATCTCAGGGTTTTGTCTTTATTGTTTCCATTGCTTGGAAATTTTTCAAACATGTTGCCCCCAGCTGCTGCTGTGTCTTCGTCTTTAAAGACTGAGTTTTAATTCTTTGTGTGCATGGTGGGGGTGGTATTTACACACTAATGCAAGCCTCTATGAAGGCCAGAAGAGGGCACTGGCATCCCTGGAGCCAGGGCTACAGGAGATTGGAAACTACTCAGTGTGTGTGCTGGGAATCAAGGGGGAGTCCTCTGTAAGAACAGAACCTGCTCTTAACTGCCGAGCTGTCTCTCCTGAACTCCCTTTCTTGATCATCTTGTTTGTTTTTTAGATCAGGTCCAAGTGTCCCTCAAAAGTGTCCCATAATTCCCTGCACTTCTTGGGCCTCAACTTGGATCATGAAATTCCAGCTGCTTGTCCTCACCCCAGATAGGAGGGTTGATGACTGTCTCGATCTTTATTTTCTTATCTGTCCGCAACCAGTACAGCTTACATTACAGGAGACGTTAAAGGTAACTATACAGTCAGAAGAACTACAACTCAGAAGGAAAAGACAAAGCCAGTCCAGAAACTGAATTCAGTCTAGATTGCAGACATTAAATGTGTCAGTCTAGATATGTTTTCGGCCACTTCCGGTAGGCTTCTGGATTGTAAATAATGCAAGAGATTGAAGGCAAGAGAGGAGTAGGGACAGGAGACAGAACAAATAAGAATGTCTGTGTTAATGTGCACGTGTGCTTCAAACAGTTGCTCTCTCCCTAGCGCGACGCTAATTTGAGGCCACTAGGGGGCACTCTTGTTCTATACAACAACGAGGGGAACGCCAGACTGCAGGGTTGTTCCCAGGAAGCCAAACTCGTCCTCTAGTCCCTGCTGTCCTCACCCCATCTCCCCAGGGCCAGGAGGTGTACCTTGCACTTAGTGTGTCAAAGAAACAAATCTCAGTATCAATCAAACCCAAACCCAGACTGCACTGTGGCCCCCTTGGCAGGGGTCCCGTCTGGAGCGGGGCCCAATATTATTAAGGAAGCGCGCGAAGCAGGGATGCAGTTCCCGGGCGGGGCGGGCTTCCCAGCCCGAGTGCCTAGGGGGATCCCGCCGCAGGTGCGGAATCGCTGGCCCCGGCGCCAGGCTCTCCGGGGTTCTGGGTCCCCCGCCGCCCCCGGCCGCACCTGTTAGTGCAGCTTCCCGAGCTGGGCTGGGAAACTGGTGTGTGCAGCTGCCCTGCCCTCCTCCAGGTCAGGGCCAGGTTAGAGCCGGAGGGGCCCAGCCAGGTTTCAGAACCGTGGGCTTGCTTCCCTTCTGCTTCAGGAGATGCAGAAGAAAGGGAATTCCTTTCACACGGCCCTGAGCAACGCCGATGCATCAGTGATGGTGGCCAAGGCGTCATGATTTTGTCTTATGATTCTGACTTTCTGACGGAGCAAGGCTCTGAGTCCCCTCGGAGCCCTCCTGTTTCTCAATGATCTTACTTTCAATTGTAACCCAATGCTTCCTTCCCTAATCTTCCTTCCTTTCTTCCTCCTCAGTAGTTCCCACTTAGCTGTCTGGCTTTTCCCTACCAGAGCAGTTCGGTAACATTTGAGTTCCATGGGACTGACTGTGCTGCTACAGAGAGGAGACCAGAAGAGAGAGGAAGGATTGGGAAGAAAACCTCCAGTTCCCCTCACCCCTCTAGGGTGAAGTCCACTGCTGGAAGCTGATGAAATCATTTACCCTACATTCTACCCTCTGAAGGGCACACGGAGGGAGGGTCTGCAGAGCTTTGATCCAGCTTCCCCCGAATGCCTGCTAGGACCGGTTCACGCTGCACAGGAGAATACGTTCCGTCATACGTTCCGTGTCAGGGATATGGATGGACTTTTTCTGTATGTAGTAGGTTTAGGGGAGGGGAGGGCATGATTTGAATGGTGTTCCACCTAAATCTTCGAAACAGGATTCTACCATATGCTTCCAACGCTTTCCAATAACTTAGCACACTGGCAGACAAGGTGAGCACCCAGCTAAGGAATCTGGGTTTATACTGATACTGCTAACTTCCAACTGATGAGAGACTCATCTAGGGGCGGTTTGGGAAGAAAATTTAATTCTGTGACCATCTCAAAGCTCCATGTCATAGGCATATCACACGCAAACCACAGGGCACGATTGAAACCAGATACAGAAACTACAGAGCCTTCACTCCACAGTTAACTATGTCTTATTCCCATTGTAAAGAACAGTTGCCACAATCACCAAGTGGTGATTAGGGGGTATTACTCATATCTGCACAGTTCTCTGGGATGTACAAAGTCAATTACAACAGACTTAGGCCTTGCCCATCAAGCCAAAAAAAAATCACTAGAGCGTGCAAATGTGTGGCCAAACACACTGTGATAAACACATTACATAGAAAAACACAAACCGAAGGAAAATCAAATTTAGCCTGGATTTCAACAGTTTCTATGGTCTGGTGCTAGTGCATCTTTGTGGCCTTTCTCCTCACCCCACAGGCGTCCTATATTCTAGTCCTTTGTGAGATTTGCCACCTCCAGGACAAAATGAGCCTTGAACTTGTGTACTCCCAAACCTCTGTAAGCTTATCTTGCGGCCTCAAATGGCCTCCCGTACCACAAGTGTTTCCTAGAAGCATGGCTTATCTTTCTGGATAAACACAGTGGCCTCCAACCTTTAAGACTTTTCCAGATCCCAAGCCAGACACCCCCCCCCTCGCACCCGCCTCAGCTTCCAGGCTCCTGTGTTGTTCTCAGAGTCCTCATTATCTCAGAGGGAGACTGAGGCATAGTTCCCCAGCCCTACCTGTGTGAAGTGGGTAGAGGCAGTGGGGGAAGAGTGATCCCTGTACGGCAGAGTACAAGTGTCGTGGCAAGTATCGTTTTTCCAAGAGTAAGTCTAAGATTGTCTATAAGCCACACTTGAGGTAGGCTGATGACTTTATGGTCATGGCTCTCTGGATACTTCTTGAAATCCATTAAAGCAAGTAGAGAAATATCTCCAATTTATTGGCTTTTGACAGTGCTATGGTACCAGGTACTCTCTATGACCCTCTGAGGTTAAAAAAAAAAAAAAAGATGTTCCATGTGACCTAGCCTCTGTTCCTAGGTCCGTGGATGTCAGAGGGCGACATGTGCCGTAACTCTAAGCCACTCCAGTAACAGGAGCACGGAAGGGTAGCCTTCAGGGTTACTGGTATACGGCAGCCAGCAGACAGGTTTGAGGTCGCCTCTGGAGGCAGAACAAGCCACCTCCTGATGGCTGCTGAGACTCAAGACCATCGTCAGGAATGAACTGGAACAGAACTTGTCACCTCCTAAAGGTGACACACTTCCATCACCAAACCACAAAGGGGACGAGGGCTGCCTCTTCTCAGTCTACAAAGAACAACTACACATTCAGTTTTCTGCCCTTAGTTTTAGAGCCATTTGGAGCCATGTTAGCTAGCTACACCATGAAGAAATCATCCTATCGGAAAGGACAGAAATCCCTGCCTGAATAGAGGGTCCCCACGTAAGTGTGAGAGGGGACAGACCAGAGCCATGATGGAAAGCTGTGTAGAAGGTCTGCAGCTGTTGGAAGTGAGCTGGAAGGATGTACATTCTGGAGTTAAGGACAAACGGAAAGCTCTCAGAAAACAACAGTGAAAGCTGTGGATCAGCAAACATCTTGGTTTAAGATGTCAAGTCACTGTAAAATAGAAAGTCACTTCCTAATCCTGTAACCTGCACATCACCGGTCTGGGATTTAAAACAAAACAAGCAGCAAAGCTTTGAGAGGCCGACTCTCAGCCTTTTCCTCAGGCATGAGAATCCCCACGGGCTCAGGGCACGGTCATACCTTTGGCAAAGTGGCCTGGTGCCCGGATGGGGAAATCAAAGATGTGACCGTGTTCCAGGGTTTATGGAAGGCCAGTGCTTCCCAATTTGGTCACATCATTGAATCACCTAGGGAGCTTTAAGAATCGGAGTCCAGAGATTTGGGTTAATTGCTCTGGGGTGTGGTGTGGGCACTGGGGTTTGAAAGCCAATAGCTGTTCAAAGTGCAGCCAGGGTTAAGCAGCATGGGGAGAGAAAGGATGGAGAGGTTTGCAGCCCGGTGAGAGGGAGACAAGTCACTCTCTGGCTGTCACATTCTAAGAGTTTACTTGGGATAAAAGGTGCCTTCTTAACTCTTCTGCAATGCCATGTGAGGAGGCCATGGTTTTTAATGCAGATGTGTGTTCTTTTAAAAGGAAATATTTTGGTGAACAGACTGAAGTGGACATTTCTGCCCTTCCAACCAAAGCTGCCCCGGCATGTACACTGTGAGATGAATGTGTTCTTAGTACTAGGGGAGTTGTGGACGGTGCTTCAC